GAGACTTCTGAGGATGAAAGAACTGTCTTGATAGTGATTGTTAGATTAACAGGCATGTGCCAAAACCATCTATTTAAAAGGATGCATTTCCCCATTTATAAATTATACAGCTAACCCTAATACATCAATACACCTCATCTTAAAAAACCAGACTTTTTAAGGATTCTAATATGAAGTAAATAAAACACTGATAAATTTGACCCCAATAAAAATAGAAATATGGGGCTGGTGCTGTGGTATAGGCTAGGCCTCCACCTGTGGTGCCAGCATCCCATATGGACACCAGTTCGTGTCCTCTTCTTATCCAGCTCTCTGTCATGGCCTGGGAAAGCAGTGGAGGATGGCCCAAATCCTTGGACCCCTTCACCTGTGTAGGAGACCCAGAGGAAGCTCCTGGCTCTGGGCTTTGGATAGGCCTAGCTCCAGCCATATCCACAATTTGGGGAGTGAACCAGCAGATGGAAGATATTTCTCTCTACCTCTCAATAAATAAACGCTTTCTTAAATAAATAGAAATGCATCTGATAAGAGAATATGGTAGGTGCAGAAAATATCTGCAAAGTATTTTTTCCCCTGAGAATAAGGTTTCTTTCCTTTTTTTTAAAGATTTATTTCTTTATTTGAAAGGCAGAGCTCCAGAAAGAGGGAAACACAGAATCTTCCATATGCTGGTTTACTCCCCAGATGAAACTGCCAAATTGCCGTTCTGTTAGTTTCCTACTTTTTTCCTTAAAAAAAAATTATTCGAAAAGCAGAAGTTAAAAAGAGGAAGAGAGAGAGAAAATGAATCTTTTATCCATTGGTTTACACCCCAAATGGCCCCCAATGGCTCAGGCTGGGCCAATCTGAAGCCAGGAGCTTCATCCAGGTCTCCCATGTTGGTGCAGGTGTCCAAGTATTTGGGGCAGCTTCCACTGTTTTCCTAGGTACATTAGTGGGGAGCTGGATGGGAAATGCAGCAGCCAAGACCTAAACTGGCATGTATGTGGCAGCTTACCAGATCTGCATGCGGCACCAAACCCTCCTACTATAATTTACAATCACAAAGGTACTCTACAAGCTCCTGCAGCCTTATCAAGCTCAGTAGTATTAGACCAGCATTTCAGACTTCTCCAATTTGGTAAGTCCTACAAAAATGGTGCCTCACTGTTCTGGTCTCTACATATTTTCATTTTTATCAAAAGTGATTTTTTTTTTAATTTGCTTGTAGGACAGCTGTTTGTCTTCTTGGTTCTTTTTTTTTTTTTTTTTTTTTTTTTTTTTTTTTTTTTTGACAGGCATAGTGGACAGTGAGAGAGAGAGAGAGACAGAGAAAGGTTTTCCTTTGCTGTTGGTTCACCCTCCAATGGCCGCCACGCTGCAGCCGGTGCACCGCGCTGATCCGAAGGCAGGAGCCAGGTGCTTCTCCTGGTCTCCCACGGGGTGCAGGGCCCAAGCACTTGGGCCATCCTCCACTGCACTCCCGGGCCATAGCAGACAGCTGGCCTGGAAGAGGGGCAACTGGGACAGAATCCAGTGCCCCTGTGGGGAGCAACCCGGACTGGACTAAGTTACTGGAATTAAGACTTATTCTATGCATCTGCTCTCCCACAATATGGCGCTGGGAGAGGAGAAAACAGCTTCTACGCAGCTGCCTCTTGCCAACTTGAGTGATGACCTCCAGGAGCTGATCCTGCTCCTGATTGGAGGAGAGCAGCGTACTCGGCGTGTGGGCAGCCGAGTTGGGATTGGTGGAAGAGGACTATAAAGGAGGAGAGAGACAACATGCACCAGGAACATCTAAGAGGAACATCTGAGGGAACACCTGTGCAGCCCCCGAGAGAGCCGGCCGGCGGTGTGCCGCTCCCCTGCGGAAGTGGGGAAAGTGGCCAGGGGGAACCGCCCTTCCACGGAGGTGGAAGGGACGGTAGCCAACCCGGGAAGAACCAGCAGCAAACCCGGGGAGGGCCGAGCAGACGAAAGAGCAACGCAGGGTCCTGTGTCGTTCCTCCACGAAGACGGGGAGCGACAGCCCCGACCAGGACTAGAACCCGGTGTGCCGGTGCCGCAAGGCGGAGGATTAGCCTAGTGAGCCGCGGCGCCGGCCCTCCATTCATTTTTGATCATTGCTTTAAGAAAATATTCAGTGGTTTCCTTATTCTTCAGTGTTTGCTAGATATTCTCAGATATTTGTCAAATACATTTTCAAATTTCTCATTTCCCTTTAATATTTATTTTATTTATTTTAAAGTCAGAGTTACAGAGAGGACAGGGAGAGGAAGAGGGAGGGGGAGAGGGGGGAGGGGGGAGAGGAGGAGAGAGAGGGGGAGAGAGAGGGGAAGAGGGACAAGGAGGGGAGGGGGGAGAGGGAGAGAGAGAGGGAGGGGGAGGAGGGGAAAGAGAGGGGAGAGGAAGAGAGAAGGGGAGAGAGTGGGGGAGAGGGAGACAGGGAGAGAGGGGGAGAGGGAGGGAGAGAGAGGGAGAGAGAAGAGGGGAGAGAAGAGAGGAGAGAAGAGGCGGGGGGAGAGGGGAGAGAGGGAGGGGAGAGGGAGGAGGGGGAGAGGAAGGGGGAGAGGGACAGAAAGGGAGAGAGGGAGAAAGAGGGGGAGGGGGAGAGGGAGAGGGGGAAGGGGGGAAGAGGGGGGAGAGGGAGGGAGAAAGAGGGGGAGAGGGAGAGGGGGAAGGGGGGAAGAGAGGAGGAGAGGGAGGGAGAGGGGGAAGGGGGGAAGGGGGGGGAGGGAGGGAGAGAGAAGGAGGGAGGGAGGGAGAGGGAGGGAGAGGGAGGGAGAGGGAGGGAGAGGGAGAGAGAGAGAGAGAGAGAGAGAGAGAGAGAAATATCTTTCATCTACTGGTTCACTCCCCAAATGGTTGCAATGGCCGGAGCTGCACTGATCTGAAGCCAGGAACCAGTAGCTTCCTCCAGGTCTCCCACATGGGTGCAGGGGCCCAAGGACTGGGGCCATCTTCCACTGCTTTCCCAGGCCACAGCAGAGAGCTGGATTGGAAGTGGAGCAGCCGGGACTCATATGGGATGCAGACACTGCAGGCAGCAGCTTTACCCACTACGCCATGGCACCTGCCTCCCCCACTTGCCTTTCATTTTTCAAGTTTTAAAGTATACAAACATCTTAAAATTTAAAATATACCAATATTTGCACTGAGATTGTCTTCTCTTACAAGTTTTTTAAAAGATTTATTTGAAAGGCAGAGTTAGAGGCAGGAAGAGATAGAGAGAGGTCTTCCATGACTGGTTGACTCCCCAAATGGCTGCGATGGTGCCAATCCGAAGCCAGGAGCCTGGAGCTTCTTCCGGATCTCCCATGCGGGTCCAGGGGCCCAAGGACTTGGGCCATCTTCTACTGCTTTCCCAGGCCACAGCAGAGAGCTGGATCAGAAGTGGAGCAGCCAGGACTCAAACTGGCACCCATATGGGATGCTGGCACTGCAGGTGGCAGCCTTACCCAAGACACCACAGTGCCAGCCACTTCAATTAATTTTTTTAGAAACTTCTCTGTCCATGCAGAGACCAGATAAATATTCAACTATATATTTTTTTCTGATTGTTATACAGTCTTCATTTTTTACTCTTCAAACTTATGCGGATATGGTGGCTACTAGTACATGTAGTTATTTAATGAAAATTAAGCTACATTTAAAATTCGGATCCTTGGTCACTTTAGCCACATTTTAAAAATAGACTTATTATTTAGAGAAGTTTTAGCTTCAATATAGGCAAACATAGAGCAATTTAGGTAAAACTGAGCACAAAGTACAATGAGTTCCCAAAAACCTTCAGTCCTTACACATGTAGCCACACAGAGTGTCAACTCTGGTGAGAACCAGAGTGGTGCATTTGTTGCAATGGTTGAGCCTACAATGATACATCATTATCATCTGAAGTCCACAGTTTAAAGTTCAACCTTGGAGTATATTCTAAGGGTCTTGAAAAAGGTATCTACCACTGTAGTATCAGACAAATCAGTTTCACTGCCCTAAAAATTCTCTGTGCTCCACCTGGTCATTCTTCCCTAATTTCAGGAAACTATTGACACTTTACTGCATACATAGTAATGCTTTTTCTAGAATGTCATATATAGTCAGAATCATAGAATATACAGCATTTCAGACTGTCTTCTTTCATGTACACATTTAAGTGTCCTCTACGTCTTTTCATGGCTTCATAGTTCATCACTTTAGCACTGAATAATATTCTATTGTCTGTGTGTATCAGAGTTTATTTATCCAGTCCCCTACTAAAGGATACCTTGGTTACTTCTAAGTTTTAACAAGGATGAATAACATTATAAGCATCCATGTTTAGATTTGTTGTGTGGAGGTTAAGTTTTCAACTCATTTGGATAAATATAAAGGAGCACAGTTACTAGATGATATGGTTAGGAATCTTTTGTTTAATACACTGCCATCCTATCCTCCAAAGTGGCCGTACCATTTTGGATCGCCATCAGCAATGAATGAATGAGAATTCCTATTGCTGTATATACTTGCCAGTAACTGTTACTACACTAGCACAACTCAAGTACTTAACAGTCACATGTTATAAATGGCTACCATTCTGGATAATCAAACAGAGAATATTCCAGTCACCACAGAAAGCCCTACTGGAATTGCTTCTCTGTTAAAAACTTAATTTACTATGTAGTAGGAAAATAGGAGCTATTGTGACAGCTTTTTGTGTCCCCTGTATAAATCCATTTCTCCGCCTATATCTTGATGATTTCTTATATTTCATCAGAAATGCTGATTCCTGCTCAGACACTTATTTACTATGTGCCCATTAACATAATATTTAACCCCTCTGACTCTCAGCTTCCTTATCCTAATTACTCATTAGTTTAGTGCAAGGATTAAATTAGATAAGCAAGGTAAGACAAATTACAACATTCATCATGTTAAGCCCTCATTTGTAAACTCTTCTGTGTTAGGAGTTTGTTTTCTGAACATCTCCATATGGCACTTTGAAGACCCTTACTGAAAGCAAAAGCTCAATATACTGTATTTACCCGGTCTGGATTTTTGTAACCCAAAAGTAGATTTGCTGCTTTTATATCACCATGAACATATTCTTTTTCATGTATATATTCCAGTATATCCAGCTGTGAAAAGAAATAGGTAATACAAGGTTACACTGCTGTCTATTTAGAACTCATGATCAACTTCAACATTTTGAATACTTAATCCCTGGATTTTAAAATATTCGTTATTTATTATACAAATAACACTTATTTTAAAATATTGTATCTCCTGGTAGCTCATCCTTGGAAAAAAGCTGAATGAAATGATCTTCAAATATTGAGTGTTTTTAATTAAACCTCTGACAGAAGGAAACCAGGATTCCATGACGCTTCTATGTCCCTGACAGCCCAGTGGTTACACTGTGCAAAGAGCAAAGCACAGCATAAAATCAGAGATCTACAATGAAATAATCATGCAGCCTACTCAGCAATTCTTCACGCAACCAATAATTAAACATCAAGTTTTGGAGACTAAAGAAAATACCATGTCTATGAGCATAGGGAAAGGCAATCTTTCTCCGTATAATAACAGAAAACTCTCAGCTTCACTATTCAAGCCCTTCATCCTTGCATGTTACACACACCCAATGCTCAATAACCATTCACTGGCAGGGTGGAGGGATAAATGGGAAAATTAATGAGCTCTATTTGCCACATTCCAACCTGGCATGAATAGTTTAATTCTACTTAAAATGGAAAAAAATGAGACTTAAGCAAAACCAAACAAGGTAAGACAAATATGAAGCATAAACAAATGTGTGTTTGGGTGCAATTAGGATTTCACTGCTTCTTATTTAGCAGAGTATATTTACTCATTGCCACAACTAATTATTGCCACTATCCCAAACTCATAAAGAAACTTTACAGTACCTCATACCATCACAAAATTTAGGATAGAAAATAATGTATGTTGCCATAATTTGATTATAAATATAACTGACAAAAGGGAGGTTATTCTTACAGCAATGAAAGCCTGTTCTGATATGTAAAACAAAGCTGTGAAGGGAAAAAAAATCAGACTGTAGAACCAATGCCTAATTGAGTTCGCAGTGCCAAACACAGCACATTCTGTCACTTACAGAGCCCACTGTTATCAATTTCACCAAAATAGCCTCTACTTTCAATAACTGACATTTCTAGGGCAATAATCCTTCATTCTCTGATCATTCCACAAAGGGTGAAGATTTGTGTAACAGGTAAATAATCCAAAAATGGAATATGCAAAACAATCATTCTTGCTTACCATTCGTATACCTAGCTGCAGGACAGTTGACTTTTTAAAAGTACCACTGTGGCCTGAGATCTTCTGTAAATCTATACCGAGTCTTTCTATTACCATAAACCTGTAACTAAAATAAAGAGACATCAAAAAAGAGATCTTCCTGAGACAGTAATGCTTGAGACTGTCTGTTAATGAATCCAAAACAAGGAGAAACACCCTAAGTTTCTCAAAATATGATGTAACCTGACCCATCTGAGCATGAGAGCACAGTAATCACCCTGGATTCTTTTGAAGACACCATTCAATACTTACTCTGCAGTTAGTATTCTACTAGAAGACAATGGGGTACTGAATCATACACACTCGCTTAGATCATGAAAAAGAGATGGTCATTTTAGATAGTCTTGAATTTATTTTGATCCCATCACCTTTGCATTATGGCTTTGGACAATTACTAATTGTCTACACAGAAATTTTTATTTGCATTTATTTCTTGGCCTCATGAAATCATATTTATTTTCTTTATACATTTATAAACTTTTTTTAGATACACTTTTTCCTTTTCTGTTTCATACCCTCTACTCCTTTTCCTTCCTTCACCTACATGCCCACCATAATTCCCCATTCTGTATCTGTGTGTAACGAACACAAACATACACATCTAAGGGTTTCGATTTTACAATAATGTGATCTTATCATATGTAATCTCTCCTTCCTATCATACTGAAACTTTCCAAGCCAGCTGATATAGCTCTAACTGATTTCTTTAATGAGCTGCATATTACAGGATATGGAAGAACCAGGATTGACTTGGGCACTCAGTCCCCTACTGAAAACCCTATACTTGGTTTCAAGATTACTGCTTGCTCATTTGGTTTTTATCACGGCTTTTAAAGACTATTTGAACACAGTACTCATGTCTGAGCCTCTTTTCTCAGCTAGGAAATAAAAATATCACCCATCTTAAAAGAGCATTCAATGCAGAAAATGAAATCATGTCAATGAAAATCCTCCACCCCCTGCAAAATGGGTCCTCAGCAAATGACAAAGATTTTTTTAATTCAAGAACTATTAATGACTTATTTATACGTGATGACTAGCCATATTTGGTTATTTCCATGAATTCTCTCTTGAACCTCGCTTCAAAAGATGGGGTACAATTCTACTCTCTTAAGCATTAAGGGGGGACCTAGTGACTTGTTTCTATCAAAGAAGATACTGAAAATCCAATGAGACATTTGTAGAATTAGAGAAAGACTATGATTTTCTTCTTGGATGCACTCTATTGTGCGTACTCTTTCTCTCCCTTTCAAAAACTTTCTAGGAGAAGCCAGCTTTCATTTCTTTTTCACATGCAGGCAGCTTACACAGAGACCCATGTTACCAGAAAGTAAAGACCTGCCAACAATCACAGGGGTACATCTCACAGCAGATCTTCCTGGGCCTGCCAATAGCCTTGAAAGCAGATCCTCGCTGGGGAGTCCTGTGACACCGGCATCCCATGTAGGCACCGGTTTGCGACCAGGCGGCTCTACTTCTGATCCAGCTGCCTGTTAATGACCTAGGAAGGCAGCAGAAGATGGCTCAAGTGCTTGGGCCCCTGCACCCATATGGAAGATCCAGAAGAAGTCCTTACTCCTGGCTTCAGCCTGGCACAGCCTTGGCCGTTGCAGCCATTTGGGGAGTCAATCAGCAGGCTGAATATCTGTCTCTTCCCTCTCTGTAACTCTGCGTTTCCAATACATAAAAAATAAATCTTTAAAAGAAAACAAGAACACAAGCAGATCCTTCCCTAGTTGAGCCTTGAGAGGACTGTACCCTGGCTGATGGCTGACTACATCCTCGTGAGAGATCCTGAGCTAGAATCATCTACGCTGACCACTTGCAGATTCCTGACCCACAGAAATTAAGATATTACAAGTCTGTTGCCATAAACTGCATCTTTAATAAGTTGTTACAAAGCAATAGACTATTTATAGGGCATTATTATAATAACCCCATTTTACCTTTTTCCATTGAATTCAGTAAGACCAGATCCATAAAACAGAGGAATTCCTAAATAATCAAGTTGTTTGTGTTCTATCCACTTTTTTACTGCAAAGAAAATTTGACAACAAAAGTTTCATTTAATTTAGAAAGGTTAATTCTTGCCTCATGGTAGCAAAAAACTTCTTCATTTTAGGTGCTAAGATAGCTTAAAAAACTGAGTAACTTGCTCATTAAGAAGTGGCTGATGAGGAATTAAAACTAAAATCTGCCTGACATCATAGACCTCAACATACATGCCAAAATTCATTTAGCTACCTAAAACAGTAATCAGCCCTTCCTAGAAAATAAGCATTTTAAAGATTATATTGATCAGGGCTGGCACTGTGGTGTAGAGGGTAAAGCTGCCGCCTGCAGTACCAGCATCCCATATGGGCGCCAGTTCAAGTCCCAGCCGTTCCACTTCCAATCCAGCTCTCTGCTATGGCCTGGGAAAGCAGCACAAGATGGCCCAAGTCCTTGGGCCCCTTCACCCATGTGGAAGACCCAGAAGCAGCTCCTCACTCTTGGCCTCAGATTGGCACAACTCCAGCCATTACGGCCAATTAGGGAGTAAACCAGTGGATGGAAGACCTCTCTCTCTCTCTCTCTCTCTTTATAACTCTGATTTTCAAATAAGTAAATAAATCTTTAAAAAAATAGTGAAAAGACAGAGCAATAATATTTAAAAATATATATTTATCTGATAGTTAAATTATCACTATACCACAAAAACACATATAGAAACTTTAAAATTATATCAATAACAAAAGCAGAAGTCATAATCTTATAAAATATTATTATATACACAAAGGTTTCTAAGCATGAAAAAAATTACATTATAGGCTAACTAAATTTCAGAGTTTAACAGGTGTTACCTAGCAATGGATCAATAAACAGAGATGGCTTTTTGACTTTTTCTTCCCTTCTGCCTGTACTTCAAAATCTAAAGCCATGGTGGTCAAAAAAAAAAAAAAAAAAGAAAGAAAGAAATTGAGTAGAAAAATCATCTTACTCTGAAATTATGTGATAAAGAAACTGCTTGATTGAAGGTAGTTTACAAACAGCTCAAATCCACTAAAACAGTAAGGTAGTTCAATCATGTTTTCACTTTTCTAACATATGTGTTTAATGTTTACGACAGCTCTACTGATAAACAATCAAGTTTAATGGATTCTATTTGTCACTCTGACATAGTTTAAGCGTTAGTAAAGACTACAGCCTAAATATTTAGAAAACTTTATTAAGGAAAACAAAGTTAATTATTGAGGCCCAACCCATCTTTCTTTTTCCTAAACATGACACAGAAGACACTGGCTACACTGGTTGTTACTCTGCTCAACCTTTTTGTTTTACTTAGCCCATTTCTTACCAGACAGCATTTATAAAATACTTTTATTCTTCCTCTTCTCGCCTCAGTCATTTCACAATCAAATCCTCTGTCTGGTGGTTCTTAAGTGCTATCCAGCTCCAATTAATTTCCCAACATTTAACTTCCCATCATTTTCTTAAATATATTAGTGTTTCATTTCCCTTCTTATTTTAATATACTTTACTATCATTTATTTTGTTTATATATCTACTGACTATTTTAATGTCATTTCCTTACATTTTTCCTATCCAAATGTTTTTCTGTAAAAGAAAAAGTTTCCTTCTTCTATATTTTACACTTAGTAACCCTACATTTTATGTAAAGTAGGAGAAACAACTTTGACTTAAAATATATAACCCATTATGTATGCCATATCAAGATTTGTATACCATCTGTCTTGCTTTTCTGCATTATAACAGTTAACTCTATCACTTTACAATAAAATTTCTTATTGAAAAATTTCCAGAAGGCCAGAAAAAAGACCAAAATATCAACAGTCATTTTAGTAAACCCATATATTTCTTACTTGCTTAGCTAATTTTACTTACTATAATCTTCTTTTGCAGCTCTCTGATAAAATTTCAGTTCTGAAAACAATGGGCCATTTTCTTGATATTCCTTTGAAAGAAAAGAAAAATTTTACTAGGAAAAATTCATAAGGATGGAATTTCAACTATGAAAATATGAGTTCACATATGTCACAAATAGTAGTACTGGAGTCATTTTTATAAGACACAAGCATCGAACTTGTACTAAAAATCTCCAGTAACAAAAAAAAAAAAAAACCTTTGAAGAATCTCATTTTTAAACAACATATTGCACTGCTGTACCTATACAGTCTTCCACAGGAAAACACTGAGAACTGTACACATGAACATACACAGACACTATATTATAACACATACATCTCAGTGGATATACTGCATACCACCCTGGTGGTTCATTCACACAGGACACCTCTAATGGGTGTCTACTGTATTTCATTTACAAATCAAGGCACAGAGGATACATACACAAATGAAATACCAGGGCTGTCTTTAAGGGTTTTATCTTCTGGGTGAAGATGGATCTGGGGAAGGAGGCATAGCTCAGGATGATAGACAGTAATACAGAACAATGAAGATTCTCCAGTGCTGACATTGTAATCATGGGAAAATATGTGAGGTTTTTTGATAAAGAAATAATTACAAAACTTAAGTCAGAAACATTTGATGAAATTAAAATAAGCAGAAAAAAAAAAACAGAAAAACAGTCAAGTACACATGAAATTCAAATTCAAGAGCAAAACTTACCACTTTTATTACATGTCTTGCATCTCTGTCTGGCTTATTTGCAGGGAAAGCTGCAAAAAATAAACAACACACAATTGGAAAATAGTAGTACTCTCAATTACTGAATACCTACAATGTAACAGATACTGTGCTAAGCATTTTTAGATATGAGTTTATATAACCTCTCAACAACCTCTTACAGTGGTATCTCCTCCATTTTACACAAAATGCAAGTAAACTTTGAGAAGCTGAAAACCTTTTCACTAAGAAGCAACAGTTTATGGCCTGAAACTCAAATCTCTGATACCACAATCACATTCTTTACCATACACTTTCCCAAATTATTACAATATTAATCACAAAAGTCTGAAGTGAAGAAAATATTTTTTAGATATACATAATTAAATCCAATGCATGTTACAGAATAAAATGCATTGATTCAATTTTGTTAACCCTCAATAATTCAAAAATGAAAACTGATTCATTTAAAGTAGAAAATTTGAAACAATTTCTACTTGACAAAAATCTAGAATAAACCAAGATTAAATGAGAACATCTTTAAAAATCATTTTCTGGGCCGGCGCCGCGGCTCACTAGGCTAATCCTCCGCCTTGCGGCGCCGGCACACTGGGTTCTAATCCCGGTTGGGGCGCCGGATTCTGTCCCGGTTGCCCCTCTTCCAGGCCAGCTCTCTGCTGTGGCCAGGGAGTGCAGTGGAGGATGGCCCAAGTCCTTGGGCCCTGCACCCCATGGGAGACCAGGATAAGTACCTGGCTCCTGCCATCGGATCAGCGCGGTGTGCCGGCCGCAGCATGCCGGCCGTGGCGGCCATTGGAGGGTGAACCAACGGCAAAGGAAGACCTTTCTCTCTGTCTCTCTCTCTCTCACTGTCCACTCTGCCTGTCAAAAAAAAAAAAAATCATTTTCTGAAACTAGTTGTAAATTATTCCTACATTAAAGAATATGTATCTCAGGGGCTAGTGCTATAGGCCATATCATAAGGGTGCCGGTTCAAGTCCTGGCTGCTCCACTTCCAATCCAGCTCCCTGCTAACGTGCCTGGGAAAGCAGGGGAAGATTCCCCAAGTACTTGGCCCCCTGCACTCTCATGGGAGACCTGGAAGGATCTCCTGGACCCTATCTTCAGATCAGCCCAGCTCCAGCCATTGTGGCCATTTGGGGAGTGAACCAGCAGATGGAAGGCCTCTTTCTCCTCCCTAACTCTGTCTTTCAAATGTATAAATAAATCTTTAAAAAAAATGGAGTCCAGATTTAGAACAAATCAATCCTTCCACATTATCTAAATTATTAAAATAAGTTTAAATGTATATACTACTTTATAATCTGAATCTTCTTTTTACAGAATTTCACATGAACACAACCCTCTGAGACATACACCTGCAACATTGCCACACTTGTCACTTGATAGCTACACAATAGTCTCTATAAACTTCCAAGTCACATTATATTTCAAGGTCAATTGACTACAAAGCCCTTAGAGATGGATGTTTTATTTGACCAAATATTTGTTCTAGTTACCATGAAGGTCTCTTTATGGTAGACTCATCAATCAGCTAGTTATTGAAATGAATACATTGTTTATTTTCCAAATCCCATTCTAGTTAGTGCAATTAAATGATGACAACAAAACAGACATGGTATCTGCCTCTGCAGTCTGCTGAAGACATCAAACATTCTTCAAATACTCATACAGAAAATCAAGACTGCAATTTAGGATAAGGCTGACTGAAGACTGATAAAAATAATGTACAACATAGGCATAATGTGATCAGAGTTAAAGTGCTGTTGTGTTCTTATACTGTCCAGAAAATTGTTTACTTAAGTTTATAGGATAAATGAAGAGTACACTGAAAATTGACGGTAAGTTAAAATAAAAATAACTTTTACAACTTTGAAACCAGTAGACAAAAAAATAAAGAAAACCTAAATAATTGAATAGAAAGCAGGAATAGTTAGAGTGAACAGAAAATACCAAATATGACAATAAAATATCTTTGAAAATCAAATTTTAGCTACACATTTTCTTTCATTTTTTAATATCTCTGAAATCTGAACATATTCTAAAGCTGATGACACCTGCTGGCTGCTGTTAACCACACAGCAGTTAGGATGTGGTTGTCACTATCTGTGCATGGTCAAACTCAATCTGAGATATTTATCTTCAAGCTCAACTCAGACATGGACATTGCCAGTGCTATTACACATTAACTGTCATCTACAATGATTTGGCATTGGTAAGAAAAAATATTGGGAAAAATGGCAGATTAGGGAGCAGCACACTATACAGGGCTAGGAGGAACAATGAAGAGAAACGTAGGAGGTATACACTAGAGGAGATTAGAAGGAAAAACCACTGAGAAGGCCCCATGGGAGGAGGGGAGCCAGCTTGAACCAGCGTGGTAAGTGTCTGCACGCACCCAAAGAGCTGGGAAAACCGAAGCTGGGACAGGCAGAGCTGGTGGCATTTCTAGGACAGGGTGGGGGGTGGGGGTGGAGAGGTCAGGACTGAGGGCAGCAATCCCTGAGTATAGCAGAGTCCAGGTGACGACCCGGAACCAGTGGTTGCTGGCAGTCACCTGAGGTCCAAGTGGAAGTGGAGAGAGACGACTGATTTAAACCAATCTCTTCAAAACAAAACCGGCAATCCAGCTGAGAGACTGGGAACAATTTTAAATCAGGACTACAACCAGGGGAGTCCGCAGGTGCACACATATCAGCTCACCCAGACGGGGTGCCTGAAGGCAGCACCGGGGAGCAGGCATTAAGCCAGTGACTGTTGTGTGTTTTCCAGAACTAGGAACGAAGGTAATGTACCACAGCCCGCACTGTCTCAGAGATTGACTGGGAAGGGGCAGAGCAAATACCACAATAAACTAAGTGGCGCCCACGCCAGCAGCGTCTGGGGGAACCTGAGGTGCTGAGACCTTGGGCCCAAGGTGGCTACGTGAAAAGCTAAAGGGCACAGCTGGGAACTCGCCCTGCCCTGGAGCATTGACCAGAGACCCCAGGCTACACCCACTAAACATCTCCTGGTGTTCACTGAAAGGGCAGATATTAGTTCCAGGAAGCCGCAGAAGCGTAGCCCCAAAAATAGATGTCTACAGAAGAAAAAAAATTAAAAACTCGCCCCCAAAATGACAAAAAATAAGAACCAGAATGCAAATAACAAGAATAAGAAAGTCACTACAAACCACTCAGAGGAACAGAACAACATTTCAATATTAGAATGCGAAGACGAAGAGATCAAGGAAATGCCAGAAATGGAATTTAGAAGATTAATCACAGGATTATTCAAAAAAATCAAAAGCAAATCCAAACTAAAGAAAACTATATAAGACATGAATGAAAATTTTCCCCAAGAAATTGAGAATATAAAGAGAAAACAAAATGAAATTTTAGAAATGAAGAATTAAATGCATCAAATTTAAAAAACACAGTAGAAAGTCTTTAAAAAAAAAGATTTATTTATTTGAAGGTCAGAGTTACACAGGAGAAGGGGAGAGAAAGAGAGAGAGAGAGAGGTCTTCTATCCAATGGTTCACTCCCCATTTGGCTGCAACAGCCAGAAACATGCCGATCCAAAGCCAGGAACCAGGAACTTCCTCCAAGTCTCCCACACAGGTGTAGAGGCCCAACCACTTAGACCATCTTCCCCTGCTTTCCCAGGCCATATCAGAGAGCTGGATCACAAGTGAAGCAGCCAGGTCTCAAACTGGTGCCCATATGGAATACTGGCACTGCAGGCAGTGGCTTTATCTGCTACACCACAGTGCTGGCCCCATTGGAAAGTCTTCACAGCAGACTTGATGAGGCAGAAGAAAGAATATCTAAACTAGAAGACAACAAGAAGACAAATCTTTTGAAATCTTACAGTAAGACCAAAAAAAAAAAAAAAAAAAAAAGAACAAGAAGAAAACATAAAACTTAAAAACAGTGTTAGAGACTTATGGGATACTATCAAATGACCAAACTTACGAGTCTTGGGAGTGCCTGAAGGAGTGGAAAGAGAGAAGGGAATAGATGGCGGCTGGGGCTGTGGTGCAGTGGGTTAATGCCCTGACCTGAAGCGCTGGCATCCCATATGGGCGCCAGTTTGAGACCCGGCTGCTCCACTTCTGATCCAGCTCTCTGCTATGGCCTGGGAAAGCAGTAGAAGATGGCCCAAGTCCTTGGGCCCCTGCACTGGCATGGGTGACCCGGAGGAAGCTCCTGGCTCCTGGCTTCAGATCAGCACAGCTCCGGCTGTTGCGGTCGATTGTGGAGTGAACCAGTGGACAGAAGACCTCTCTCTCTCTCTCTGCCTCTCCTCTCTCTGTGTAACTCTGACTTTCAAATAAATAAATAAGTTATTTTAAGAGGGAATAGGAAACCTTTTAAGTGAAACAATTGCAGAAAACTTCCCAATTTGGAGAAAGAAAGAAATGTTCAAATAGAAGAACATAGAACTCTTACCAGACATGACTAGAAGAGCTCTTACCACAACATATAAACTCTCCACAGTAAAACATAAGAAAAGATTCTAAATTGGGCACTAGAGAAACACCAGATCACTTTCAGAGGATTGCCAATTAGACTCACAGCTGACTTCAACAGAAACCCTACAGGCTAGAAGGGAATGGTGAGATATCGTCCAAGCCTCAAAAGAAAAAAACTGTTAACCATGAATACTGTACACCATAAAGCCTGCATTTATCTTTTTTTTTTTTTTTTTTTTTGACAGGCAGAGTGGACAGTGAGAGAGACAGAGAGAGAAAGGTCTTCCTTTGCCGCTGGTTCACCCTCCAATGGCCGCCGCTGCAGCCGGCGCACCGCGCTGAACCTGGCAGGAGCCAGGAGCCAGGTGCTTTTCCTGGTCTCCCATGGGGTGCAGGGCCCAAGCACCTGGGCCATCCTCCACTGCACTCCCTGGCCATAGCAGAGAGCTGGCCTGGAAGAGGGGCAACCGGGACAGAATCCGGCGCCCCGACCGGGACTAGAACCCGGTGTGCCGGCGCCGCAAGGTGGAGGATTAGCCTATTGAGCCACGGCGCCGGCTTAAAGCCTGCATTTAT